GTTAAACACGACCAAAACTGAAGGGAGGGGACGGGGCCCGAAGAAGCGACGAAACAAAGGAGCGAAAGAGAGACGAACGAGGGAGGGCAGGAAGGGGGCCGCCAGGGAGACGGGAAGGAAGCGGGGGGGGAGAGGGGAGCAGGAGGGAGCCGGGAACACCCACAGAAAAGCAAGGGCAAGGACCGCCGACGGCCAGCGACGGAACAGGGCAAAAAGCAGGCAGAGCGGGCCGCAAAACGAGGCAGAGAAACGAGGCCAGGCAGGGGGGACGGCAAGGCGGGAGGAGGGGAACGCCGGAGGAGCAGGGGGGACCAAGAAGGCAGGCAAGGCGCGGCAGCGGAGGCAAAAGGCGGCAGCGCGGGGACGAACCAGAGGGAGGAAAAGGGACCACAGGACGCCGGGGCGGGCGGCCGGACACGGGCGCCCGAGAGAACACAGGAGAGAAGGGAAAAGGCGGCGGCGCGCCGACAAAGCCCGGAAGGGGCAGGCGCCAGCGGACCGGAAAGAACGCAGGAGACCCGACGGGCCGACGAGGGCAGGGCGGGCCAAGAAGGCAGGGGGGGGGGGGGGGCCGAGAGGCGCGAAAAGGACAAGGGGAGCCAGAGCCGGGGCGGAGCAAGCGCCACGGGGGGGGAAGCAGCGGCCAGGGGGGGGGCGGACGGCAGACACCCGAGCCGGGGGGAAGAGGGCGCGGAAGACCGGCCGGGGGGAGAAAGCGGAGAGGGAGGGCGGAGGAGAGGCAGCCCCGAGGGGGGCGGAGAGAGGCGGAGGGGGGCGGGGGACAGCGGACGGCGGCCGGCGCGCGGGCGAGACCGGGGGACGCGCAGGGGCCGAGGAACCCAGCGGCCCCAAAGGGCGGGCGGGGGGGGGGCGAGAGACGCCGGGAGCCGGAGGCAGGGAGGAGCCGGCGGGCCGGGGGCAGGGAGCGCGAGGCCGGGAGCGGGAGGCGGGGCGGGGGGCCGGGAGCAGAAGGCCGGGAGGGAGAGCCGCGGGGAGGCAGCGGCCGAGGAGACACACAGGCAGGGCCAAACAGGGGGACGACCGAGGGGGCAAAGGGAGGAGCGGGGCAAGGGACACACGGCAGCGAGGGCACGGCGGGCCGGCCGGGGAGAGGGAGCCCGCCGCGGGGGCGCGCCCGGAGGGGGCGCCCAGGGGCCCCGGGAAACGGGGGGGGGGCGCGGGAAGGGGGGCCGGGGACGAGGGGAGGGGCGAAGGACAGAGGGGGGCGGAGGGGCAGACGGAGAGGCGGGACAAACGGGGAAGGCCACGGAGACAAAGGGAACAGGGGGGAGAGGGGGCGAGAGAAAGAAACAGGGAGGGAGGGAGGGAGGGAGGGAGGGAGGGAGGGAGGGAGGCGGCGGCAGGACAAGAGGT